TATTTCTATCAGTAAAATTGTACAAATTAAGGAAGAATGCCTTCCCTACAGGATTACCCTAATTTTTACATTAGGAACAGACTTTTTAATTTCGATGTCAAAGTATTGTTGAACTGATTTCTATCAATTACAAGGTCTCCTATCACCATCAGATGGATTCTCAAAATTATTTTGTGAAACTAGCCAATATGGAGCCTTTATTAAATTTATTTTAAAAAGTCTAAAGGAATAAGAATTCCTATAAGTATTGTGTATATCTCATATTTCTGCATTTTTCATTCAGGAATTTCTATTTCTATGGCTAGTTTGTCGGGAATAGAATACTTTACTTGAACATAGATCTATTCTATGATTATAATTCCATTTTCTTTTCTCCCAAGAATAGCTGATGAATGACAGCTGAACTTTCTCCTTATAAGGAAGATTATTTATATTCAAAAATCATAGGAAAGAGAGCAGGCATATATTTGGAAATAAGTGAGAATGCATTGTGTGTATTTTATTCTTTAAGAAATGTTTGGAATAATACTATTAATTATACTTTAACTGTCCAAAAGATAGAATAAATTTGAAAAACAAGGAGAAAGGAAGTTTTGAAGTGTATGATATACTGCAAACTACAAACACTATCTTCAATTCACAGTGCTAAAACTCAGCTTATCATATAACTTCCCTCAGGCCCTTGATCATTCTTCAATAATTCATTTAAGCCATTTGCTATTTATGGGGATAAGAGAACAGAGTACTTGGTTTTCTCTTGTCCTAGTGACTAAAGTGGAAAATGTTCTGGTATAATGTTGTAGATTTTAATTTTATTTAATTCCCAATGTGTGCAAATAAAATTTCTGAGGAACATTTCTAAAATAACTTCATTCATTCTTGTGCTTTTCTGTGATGTACTAGATTTTTAATGAATCATAAAAGTCTACATTCCTACTGTCACACCAACAGTGTTGTAAAATTATTATTAAAAATGTTTTCCTCTTTTTCTTACATGACCACTTATGACCACCTGAAGACTCAGTGAACCGTGTCTATCATTTCTCAAGATTCCATGAACAGTGAAAAAGGAAAGCTGATGGGAAATATTACCATTCTGATCTCTTGCCAAGCAAATGATCTCATCAAATTGAACCTTTGCCTTACAAGCCTAAGTAGATGAAACAAAATATTTAAAGCAATCTGATGTTATTTTCCAACTTTCTATTTTCACATTAAAGCTTTTATGTAATAAAGACAACAGTGAGTATAAATACCTAACATACTGGGCCTTAATGCAATTTTCAATGCACTAACATTTCGAAGGCCTAGAGTAACAACCTCACGATAACACAGACACAATTGCCAAATATTATACAAGCAATTAAACACTAATCTAGGTTGTTTCCCCTATTTTTATCTGTGTATGTATGTAGGAATTATTTTTGTCTACCTTTTAGAAAATTAAAACAAATTTTATGTTGTTTAAAAAGGATATAGTACATTGCTGGTCATATAACACACTGAGGTCAGATCTCAGTGTATCATTCCTTTTGTAAAGGATGTCAAGGCCGTAAGTAAGTAAGTGCATGCTCATTGCATTGGCAGTTGCTATAAATGGCATAAATAACAACAATCTAGGTCTGCTTGTCTTAAATTAAATTCTTGAATTTGTAAGGAGCAGTGCAATTTTGGGAAACTATTTCCTTCCAATTTAGATTTTTTAAAACCATACTTAGCAAGCTAGTACCAGTGGTAAAGGCAAGAAACATTTATGGGAATTAATCCAAATTCTACAAGTTGGATGGATGAGTTATATAGACTCTGTACTTCAGAGTTCTCTTCTATAAAATAAGGATTTTATTTTATTAGTGAATAACTCATAGGGTTGACTTGAAGATTAAATGTGCCAATATGTGTGAAATGCTTAGGACAGTACTTGATGTATCTAAAAGCTCAACAGCTATGTACTTATTTCTTCTGTCTACTATGCTTATCTAATATTGTACTTTTAACTCACCATTAACAGCTAGAGGGTTCCATGATATAAAATGAGAACCTTAGGAAAATAACATGCTTTAAAATCCCAAGTTAGGATATATTCAAATATTTTTTGTTGTATCTATGCTTCTTTGTTATTGTATTTAAGAGCTTCCTTATTTTTCATATATATATGTATGTATAAACTTCAAAATATGAATGTACTAAGAGATATTTAACATAATTCATATTTTGGGGCCCCGGGTATTGAACTCGGGTCCTTGTGCTTGCAAGGCAGGCCACCGAACCACTGAGCTAAATCTCTGGCCCTCCTTTTGCTTCTTAAAGTCCTACCTATACTCATAATTCTAAGCTTTCTTTGAGTATATAAGTAATTTGCAAGTTAATCGAAGGGTAGTAGTGTCTAAATTTGCATAATTCAACATTTCGGTATTTGTTACTAAGAACTGAACTCGGGTCCTTGTGCTTGCAAGGCAGGCCACCGAACCACTGAGCTAAATCTCTGGCCCTCCTTTTGCTTCTTAAAGTCCTACCTATACTCATAATTCTAAGCTTTCTTTGAGTATATAAGTAATTTGCAAGTTAATCGAAGGGTAGTAGTGTCTAAATTTGCATAATTCAACATTTCGGTATTTGTTACTAAGAACTAAATTGAATGCTCTAAGCATAAAGGACTTATATACTACATTTTAAGATATCACACAGGGCTAAAAAGTTATGCTACTGTCATTTCCAAAAACATCAAATATGAACTTTTCTGTACTTTAGTTTGTGGAATATATTTTAGGACAATTATAAATTATTATTACTATTACTTTCAAACCAAGAGACTACTGCTATACTTGGACTTCTATATAATGGAATTAATTTATAAGTTAAATGAAGTTATCATTGATTATTGATATGAAATTTTGAAGTGATTTGTACAGCCTTTAGAGGCTGGGCTGAGATTTATACAGGCTGTCAGATTTCACACCCGGGTTTTGAGAAGGTGTCAGGTATTTGGTGGGGGATGACCAGCATTTAAGACATTCTGAAAGATGACAATTTATCATTTAAAGGCTAAAAGAACTGTCATATTCACTTATTTGACTTCCCAGTCTGACTATGGGGTTTAATTTCCTAAGCGAGGTAGTATTTTGTGCATATCTTCCTATTCACCAGAAGTGATTACAATGCAGATTTATTAAAATGTTTCTTCCCTCTGGATTATGCTTGCTGAATAAGCAGGATTTATCTTTTATACACCTTTGTGTTCTCAGTGCCTGTTCATCTTTATTATAAAACAAAGTTGAATGAGTTGTTAAATTAATTAATCTTTGTGAAAATTATAGGCATAAACTGAAACTGACAGCTATGTTTTATTACTTACAACCTTAGTTTGAAAAAGTAAACACAATAAGCTATTGGTTACACAGAACAAACTTTAGGTTATATCTAGAAATTTACACTTAAGTATCTACAATGGAGTCTTGGAATAAATGAAACCAAGGAATTATTAAGATTATATTTATTTCAGGTTTAAAAGTTTTAAAAAAGATCTTTGCTTACTTCCTTCTCCCTCTTTTAAACACATATATATTATTTTCTCCTACTTGTTAAAAATATGTCAGATTATCTATTGGCTATCAAAAACTTTTAAACATCAGTATTCTATTTTATTGGGGGTAGATATGAGTTGTGGAACATGAAGGCACTAGGCACTTTAAACTGCTGTCTGAAGGGACTAAGGATCTACAGCTAAAGAAGAACCTAGTAGAGCCGGGCATGATAGCACACGCCTGTAATCCCAGCATTTGGGAAGCTGAGGTAGGAGGATCGCTGTGAGTTCAAGACCAGACTGGGCTACATAGCGAGTTCCAGGCCAGTCTCAAGTACACAGTGAGACCCTGTCTCAAAAAAATAATTGAAAAGAACCTAGTAGATATATTGTTATAGATTCCTGAATCAGTCAATAACTTCACTTGATGACTATAAATTTTTAAATGTAACATTTATATACTTCAATATAAGTAGAATATAGCAGAAAATTCTAGGATATAAAAAGAAGAGTTGAGATACTTTACTGCTTATCTAACAAAAGGTGGTCAAAATGTTGCATGTGGAATGAATAAAAATAAAAATCGTTATGAACAATTGAGGGGGATAGGTAGACAGAGAGCGCTAAAAACAATTTTCCCTCTGCTCAGCTCCCATTGACCAAATCGGAACTGCTCAGCAAGGATCCTGTCCTTCCTCCAAAGTATAAACGCCTCACTACAAATGATAAATTTGAAAAGTAAAAAGGGAGAAATATATACTTTTAATTACATCCATTCATTCTTGTAATAGGACTAAAGGTTTTTATTACTTTTTTAAAATTTTAGGCAACTTTATTTGCAAATATTACAGGTACACTATATAAATTTTATGCCTCTGTAACTGAGTTATTTTCTTTGTCATGAGTGGAAAAATAAGACTCAAAGATAAAAAGAAAACTTAAGTAATTGGTAACTATGGGCGTAGCCTTGCTTTAAATACAGTATTTGCATTTTATTTAAAATTCACTTCTACTTGAATGCCAGATTAGTTTAGTAGCTTCTTACAAACACTACAAAAATAGATTTTCAGTATGATGCTAAAACCCTATCTGAAGATATTTTTTAATTCATTAGGACTAAAATGATAATTTTATTTCAAAGAATTCATGCTAACAGTAAGTGTACATTTTAAAAGACTCTTTAATAGTTTAATTTGGAAAAATCTAACAAAGAAGAAATATATGTGATACTAAAACAATTTCTCTAAACCACTATGAGCTAAAATGTTACCTACTGTTCTTGTTTATCTTTGGAAAATCTGGAAATATTTTTAACATTATGTGTCACATTATTGATAGTTCACTTAGAAGCACATGATAGACATAGATTATTAATATTCAAAAGTAATCAGATGATTTTTACAATCTCAAATCTTATGATAGAAAATTGACATTTCAACACCAGACATATGCTCTTTTGTAAACATAAGAGAATTCTCACCATAAGTTGGTGTGCTTTCTCGCCTTCCTTGACTACTTGATCTTCCTTTTTCATATTCATAGCAATATAGGACAGTATCTTCTTCAACAATGTTAAACCTCTTTCGATATTCCTGATCCAGAAATGAATTTGGTGATTCAGATCCCTTATGCACTGGCTTGCCCACCATATGTCCTCTGAGGTCTTCACAAGGAAGATTTCCTTTTTCATCCCTAAAGAAAAGACAGAGTAAAGAAAAAGGGTGGATGAAAGTGTTCAGCATGTAAAAGGCAGAGTGTAAAATAATAATATCTTTCCCACAGAATTTACCTGTGAATCTATCTAAACTTTCATTGAGGATTATAGGGGAACTTTTATTATCCCTATTTAAAAAAAAAAGCTGAGGATCAGAGCGGTTAAATGAGTTGCCTCAGTGTCACACTGCGAATAAATAATAGAAATATGCCCTAGATTTTCTAATTTCTGTTCCAGTCCATTTTCACTGTACCATGTAACATAAAATTAGTTTAGGTGTTACAAATTGATTTTACTGTTCACAATACTAGATAATGCTAGCGATATTGACTTAAACATATGCCTTTCTTCTGCCTGTTTGCTCAAATGATTCTTGGTAAAAATATGTGCTGTTTAAAAAGGAAAATGTGTTTAAGAGCTATCATCTATGTAAGATATGCTGCGGCCTTAGGAACCAAGTAACACTATATCATTGGAATTATAAGATTTCAAATTGCATGTTATTTAATTAGTCAAATTGCATGTTATTTATGCAAAAGAAACTTATATAAGAGACTTGCTTTCAGTATTCAAACTCTATATATCTCCTTTAAGAGTAAGAAGATATCCATGAGGCTCAATCTAAATGGATATATCAAAATTTTATTGCATATTAGCAATGTTTCTTTTGGAGAAAAGGTTGAGAAATTTACAAAATATGGAGCTTAAGAATGAGGCTTATCTGCATGTGGCAGTGCAAACATGTAATCCTATCACTCGGGGGGTTGAATTAGGAAGATTCCACGTTCGAGCCCAGCCTAAGCAATTTAGTGAGACTCCGTGTTAAAATAAAGGAGTGGGAGATGAAGAAAGTTTATTTTTTTCCTCTATAGAGTTGAAAGAGAAAATTCGCTAATAAAATTACATTACTGAAATTATTATTATGAGATACTTAAAACTTATTATGTACACATTATTACTATAGTTGATTGGGCCCACGAGTGGTATTTTGATAGAAATATTCCATTTAGGATTGTTTAATTTGAATGTAGTTTATGTTATGAAATGTTTCACTGGTTATCTATGAAATTTTTGTTAGAATGTGTCTTCTGTAACATAATTATGAGTATAAATGAAATGTTTCATCATTTGTGGATCATTACTTATATTTCTCCCTACTTCTTGTTACCAGTTACTCTAAACAGTGCCATGACTCAGTGTTATCTAACCAGAAAAATTATATATTAAGTGCTAAGATTAAAACCTTAAATTTATAGATTGACTTATATTTTTAATTAAATCCTGTTATATCTTATAAAATGCAGATAAACTCATAAAATTAATGTCAACTTCAAAAAATGAGCCTTATTCCAGCAAAAATCTGTTATTGCTATATCTGTGTACAAGTGTTTAGATGGTCAAATATAGTTAACTATATTTCCAGGGTTTTATATATGCTATAATAAATAATAAATAATATTCTCAGATTTGCTGAATCAGCAAATTGTTCCAGCAATACAATACATCACAAGGTGAGGTTTCCATTTACATTGTCATTTATTTTTTTATTTTCTAAAATAATAGTATTGTTTTATCTATTAGCTAGTTCTTAGACAACATTAACAAGATTAATATAAAATTAAGGTAGAATTTTATTTTCAGTTAACTGAAAGCTCTTCCTGAATGAATTGCCCCGTGCTTTTTGTTACTGTGAGTCCTGTATCAAAAAGAAATTGACAGTACATTACAGCTGCCTCCAATGTATGCCACTGGAATAAGATTATGCCTATCTGTAAATGCATAGGCTTCCACGTGAAGCCTGTAATATGAATGCTAATGCAGCTGAGATCACTGGGTGATTCAGATCTATTAACCCAACATGCTATATTTATATGGACACATCCTGGGGCAGAAAATTACAAGGGCTGGTATTTTCTACTCAGTAGTGTTAAATTAAGAAAAGCATAAATAGAAAACTAAACTTTCAAGTCGAATAAATTGATATATGTAAGGGTGAATATGAATTTATATGTATGTATTTTATGTCTCTTTAGAGAGAGAGAGAGTACCTGAATAACTCCATGTATTAATTCATTGTACTGCAAACATTTTAACTTCTCATAATGTTATATATTTATATACATATGTACTATAGCTACACCTTTGCTCTATAAAGAATTTAAGAATTAAATATCTGTTTTTATACATTTTTATATATAATTGCACATTTTAGAGTGAATAAGACAAATTAGATTTCATATTTATTCAAAGACCTAAAAACTCTTTACTACTATTATAGAAAAATAAATGGCAAGTATAAAATATGCAATAAATTATGATAATGAAATGTCATAAGATGTAATAAAATTACAACCAACTTTCAGTTAATATACATTAATATTTTATCTTCTAGAATAAAAGGTATTTTTGTAGTCACATTTTTTTCTGAAATATATATGTTAAAAAATTAATTACATGAAAAAAAATTCTACTTAACTTTCTATTTGTTTTTAGAGACAGGGTCTCACTATGTAGTTCAGGCTGGCCACAAACTCACAGTGATCCTTCTGCCTCAGCCTTCCAAGTGCTGGGTTTGCTGGGATGCACCAATACATACAGCTCAAAAATTCTACTTGACAATTAGTTCTAACATTTTAAACTTTTTAAGATTTTAAAGCTTTTATTATTTATCATCCAAATTAAATATTTATGTTCATATACCACCAAAATGCTTACCTTGAATAAACAAAATTTTATTTTAATTGGAAAAAAGAAACATTTAGAACAGTTTAAATTAGGTCTACCACATTCATCATCAAAATAGGAAAATGGAAAAATGTACTAAGGCTGTAGGTATAATAATTACAACTGCAAAAAATTTTATGACTATAACTTCAAGTCAAAACATTTAAATTATTTATATAAAGCTGTGTTTAAAAGGGACTTTGACGTATGGGTTGTTCTAATTGCTGTATCAAAAGACTGTGTCACTGGGTAAATGATAGCTTGACACAAAACATATTTAGAATACTCTGTACAATTATATATTGACCACTAAAAATTAATTAAAGTGAGATATCAAAGGCTATTTAAACATTTCACTGAAAAGGATGAAGTTTCAAGCAATCTATATCAACAAGGACCATTCATGCTATTTCAATTTCTCACATTTCCTAGTATTATTAAATATCATGTTTAAGCTTTTTATTAACTTTAATATACTTCCTTAATAATATCTTTACCACAAGAGAGAATATGACTGGCTCATTTTACTCTTCTGTCCCTGTAAGACAGTTATGGAGAATCTTTTAGAGCTTTCAATGATACAAACTGCTGGCTGTGGCACGTGTGCAGTGGGTTCACCATCATTGTTCTAAGATGTATTTTAAGTAGATTTTGTCCAGGAGAACTTCCTCTAAAACATTTTTTTTCCTCCAGTCTACTCAAAAGGAAAGAACATTTAAATATTGCAGATATTTGATAAAAATAATATTTGGATGCTTATTTGTACAAGTAGCCCTCTAAAGAATAAGGTTTCTTGGGCTAGTAATTTAGCTCAGTGGTTCCACTGCCTGCCTCACAAGCGCAAGGTCCTGAGTTCGATCCCCAGTACCAAAAACAAAACAAAACAAAACAAAAACCCCAAAAACAAAGAATAAGGCTTCTTAACCATTTGCACTGAAATCTTTCTAATTAAAATGAGAATATACCAATTGAGACTTGATTCCTTATTTGGAATACACATGTTTTCATTGTTTCTCATGCAAGAGTAATCAGAAAGACAGGTACTGTTTTAATAGAATTAAAATGCAACTTATGTTTGAAGTAGAATATTGGGGAAAAATTACCATGATTGATTATGTAAACGTACAAATTTCCAGTGATGAATTTCATTATATTGCATACTTAAAATATATCAATAAAATTAAAAAAAGAATATTGGATGAATTTGTACATCTGTTTGTAAACTGAGCATAAGATAGCCAATTATATATTAGAGATATTATGAAATGCCAGCTTGATGTCATGGGTTTTGCTATAATCCATGTACCCACAGCTATATTTAATTTTCACAAAGGATTTTAATATATATATATATAATTAAATATAACTATTATTTGATAACAGTATTTGCTGATATGCCATACAGCCATGTAGAGTGAGATCATGTCAGTATCACTATATCTAATAGAATATTTGTTCTATTAGAAACACTAGATATATTTAAAATATTTTAAAATGTAAATTCTATATTGAAATATTAGATATATTAAAAACAATAAGAGTTAACCAATAAATTCAATTCTTTATGAACCAAAGAAATTTAATATTAAGTATGGCTTGAAAATAACAGAGTTTAAAGTGTTGCTTTTGAACATCACAGAATTAATTTAGAAAATCAATTTCTTTGTAATTGGGGTTTATTATCCTCTTTTATTTCCAGCCAAAATTTTTGTGTTCATAAGGCTGGATATCAGAATGCTGATGAAAAGACTGCATTATGGCAGAGAGCTGGATTTTTTCACAACTGCCAGGAATTTTTAATATGAATTTGTAAATGTAATAGAGATTTAGTCTCAAGAAATCTAGAAAACAGATTTTAAAGGCAACTAATTCTCTTATAAAGTATTTCTCAAGGAAAAATATTAATAGATGAGGTGACAATTCTAGACACAAGTACTTTGATGGGGGATACTTTCCCTCTTCCTTTCTCCCCATAAAATAGTCTTTCTCATCACCTACTTTAAAGGAAGCATATAAGTTGTCTACATACTTCTCTTTAAAAATTATTAAGTGAAATGATTCAAACTAATCTGAGATTTCCTAGGGCTTCTTAGCCAATGAGTCTCACTTATTTCTTACCTACTAAAACAATCTTAAGTTTTATTTAACATTACTTTCCTATTGTATGAGTGTAGGATACTAAAAGCTAGTAAATATTTCATACAAACTACCATGGTTTTTAAATTATTATTAAGTAAAGTGCCTTTGCTATAATGGGAATGAGTTTTCAGAATGTGTTCCGAATGCTCAACTGAGAAAATATTCAAGGTGTTCCTCAAGAGTTGACTTCAAACTTTATATGCTATTGGGTTAGTCTTTACATAGAAGATTGGTAGAACCACAGGATGGTTAGTTTTATACCTGGGAATATATGGTTCTGCAGGAGGAGGAGGAATGTAGAGATCCTGGAGGGCAGAACTGTCTCTTTTGGTGGGTGTACTGATGGTGCTGGAAGGCGTGGCAACGCTGCTTGTGGGACTTCTAGGTATAAGAGGCTGGTTAAAATGAAAAAGAAAATACATACGCACACAAACAACACAAAACAACAACAACGACACATAGTTATCATTTCAAAATAATCTATTTCTGCAAACGTTTTGAACTTTGCTGAAATCAAGAAGGATGTTATTTAGCACATGGATATTTTTTTGAATCTCCAAAAGCAAATAATACATATTAAAGATTTTCATTTGGTTCCAAACTCACCTTTTTGTATGGTGTAACCATCTAAAAGTTATTTATAAAGTAAAAAAATATACCACGCAACGTTTTTAATGGAAATACTTATATTACAGTCAGAAACTTAAATTGTCAGAATTACATTTTTTGAAAGAAAGATAATAAAGAATAACTAAAAAGAATTAGCTCACTTACATACGATTGATATATGAAAAAACTATTCTAGATCTTCTTTCCAAAAGAACAAACTATATTCCTAGTTATTAAAACGCCAGATTCTCAGAAAAGGTAACAAAAATAGAGTATGAAAAGCCAATATGAGAATATTTTCTAGGAAAATGTACTTTTTTCTGTCAATATAAACATAGCTAGCTGTCTCTCCAAAGTCATCTCATGGTACATCTTCAAAAGTATGATGATCAAGGTGATAAGCATTTCACCTTTCACAGGCACACACATTTATCCATCATTTAAAATAATCTTCAGTCGTATAAGTATAGATCTCATTTTCATGCTCCTATTTAAGAACTGAATAGGAGGATGTTTAAGTATACTGTAGTATAGCAGGATGCATTAACTTAAGAGCACTCCCAATCCAGCATTTCAAAATAATCTTGTAGTTCAAGAAATTACCCTAAAGTGAAACTAATATTCACAAACTCTTACTGCTTAACTTACACATCTTACTGATTAACTACATATACAATTAAAATAAGAATGTCACTGCAATCTCCAACATAAAAATAATGATCACAAAATGAACTGTATCTTCACATGACAAGATGTTGCCATTTTAGTTAGTATGAAAACACTTTTACCATGTCTAATTAGACCCACAGTTCTTTTACTTTAACACACATTGTTAGACACTCAATGGCATTTTACAACTATTTTATATTGTGACAATACTTTGGTACATATAAACAAAATTTGTTCAAAATGTCAAGCATGATTACAATAGAAAGTACAATGTACGTCACTGGGATAGACTACACAATTTAGAATTCAGTTCACAATTTTAATCTTCCTTATTACATGGCTCACCTTAATAGCTTGAAGTCAGACATCCTGCCAAAATGATAAAGTTTTAATCTATGTGAAATTAGTGAAGGTTTCTAATTAGAATAGGTTTTAAATAGAAGATCTGTTATTTGAAAAATTTTAAGATACTATAAAAGTATGCAGTCTAATATGTTTAATAATATTATTAGAATATTGTCCAGTTAAACTATGCCTGTCCATTAGAAAAAAACTTCGCAATGAGAAATTCTGCAATATTTATTCAGAGGAATCACTTGTTCTGATGAACATCATGAAGCCTAAGAAAATAAATGTATTTCATTCCTCTACAACAGATGTTTGCAAGACATATTCAATAATTTTTTAATAATCACTGAGATATTACTACTTATAGTTGCCTTCCTGTTAGGATACTTTCTCTCTAAATATTGACACTGAACAACGAGTCAAACCAAAATTCATCATGATAGAAATATACTAAAGAAAAATCATCATACAGCAATTTCCAATACTTTTAAACCAATGCATTGAGAGAAAAACTAATATTAAGCATGCTTTTTAAATGTTTCTTGTAATATCCTAATACAACAGTTGAACTTAAAACCAAGCTCTAAAAACATGTTTTACAAAATAATCTGAATTTGTATAGTTTCCCCTCTATTTCAGTGTTACTATTTCAAGTTTGAGGACTTTTTTTTAAATTTTACCATCAACAGAACTAAAGATTATTTTTGTTACTTCTCTTCTCAAAAAGGAAAGAAGGAAAAAAGTAACAATAGTAAGTGGTTACAGGTATAATAAATATGCCTCAACTATGAGGTAAAGACTAGGAGAATGTTTTAGTTTCCCTGAATTATTACCAGAATAGTCTACCTAGGGTACTTGTACCTTTCCATTTCTGGGAATTTTACATATTAGTTGTGTCTTCCTTCAAATTACCATAACTCTAGATTTCTATTTTCAGCAAGGAGTTGCTATTAATGCCATCAGTTAATATAAGTTAAACTGGCAAATATATATGAAAAAATCAAAGTTGTAAAAAAAATAACAGCTTTGATTATATGAAGCAGGTGTGATTAACTGTACTGGTTGAAAAAAACAATTTGTTCTTACAGATTAAAAAGGAATCAATCCTGTTGCCTGATTCAATTGGATAATTACTTTATTAACTGGTAAATCAAAGAAAGTATTTGAACTGGTTTATCATGTGGATATTATCTGGCTAGTCATAATGCTTTATATGAAGTAAAGCTCATGGTAAATGTTCAATACATTCAGTATATTTCAGTCTTACCAATTGTGTTACAATGTCATGCTTATTAAAACCAGAAAGTAAACATTCCTTTCAAGCATCACATTTTAAAAACCAACTTAGACATTAGGAAATGGAAAAATAAAGCATGGTAAAATGGAAGCTTCATGCAAAAATGAAAATAGCTACTTAACACAAAAGGAGATCTGTATTTAAAATTATAATCTCTTAAGCTGTTAAGATTTGAATAAGAATTGAAATAGTACAAAATCAAATGACTAAAAGAATGAGAAAGGCATTAAAGAATTTTGGAAAAACAATTAAAAATTGAGTAATGCTCAGAAAAAATAATGCAATTAGCTGATGTTATCAGCAAGAAATTCATTCCAAGTGACATTTAAATGCACTTATCACCAATAGGTATTTTGTGAAAATGCATGGAAAGTAATAACTTTAGCTTCTATCAATTAAAAAAGCTGAGTTTTCTCAGTATTAAATTCAAATTTTAATAGGCATATTTCTTAGTTAAATTTTTAAATAAGAGAGAATGACAATGCAAAAGAGTTTCTCTTATCCTACCAATATTTACTTTCAATGACTTGTTCCTAACACAGCATGAGAAAGCAGTTGCTATTCTATAATTAAGGAGAAAAGTAGAAAGTATTTTTTAATCATTTTGATCTTCTCTTATATTGGTAAAATTTACATGGAGGGGAATTATGAACTATCAGCATTTATGAATAAAGTGTGAATGTATCACTTTTGGATTGCATCTTATTAATCAAGTAAGCTTAAAGCTTCAGTATAAATTGAAACAGTATGGCATATGATGAAGTACGACATAGATGTATTCTGAGTCCCATCCAAAGGAGTTTATTTCTGAAAGGGCCTGATAAAAACATTTGATTTTCATTTCTAGGTGGTCGCAAAGCTTTTTTTCCATATATTCAATGAGGCTCCAACAAGGAAGACACATTTACATATACATTGCTACTATTGTAAAATAAGTCTGATAGATTCCTGGGGGCATTGGTATTTATCTCTATGCATTTCTTCAAGTATACATTTATAACTGTAGGTCAATTAATAACTTACTACTGTCAGTAAGACTCAGAAATCTAAACAAAATTTACACATTTTTTCTAGTGTCAGTTTAAACTATATAAATTTGTATCCTAAAATATGGCATGACACAAAACCTTCTTCTGAATCATGAATATTAACTTTAACAATAATATCCTACTTATCCAGCTTAAACATCTTGGAAAATTCTGATTGTTGTAATATAAAAATTTTAGCTTTTGTATAATAAACCTCACGTGAAATCTGATGGTTCAGCCCCCTCCAACATCTATAAGGTAACAGCACATCTGGAATGTACTGATGCACCTCTAAAACCTCTATGCTCTTAAAGACTGTGACCAAAGAACTTGCATACTTAAGAAACTTGATATTAACCTTGATATTAAGGTTTTACTAGAAGTATTTTATATTTTCATATCTTTTGGCAAGCATATCCTAATTTAGTTTTTTCCTATGTTTAGTAAGTGATCGAGCTTTGACAGAACTGTAAAAGTCTTGAATGAAACTCAATGACAAAAGACAGCCCCAACATTAAAGATCAAAACACTGCATTATATAGTTAGTTCTAAAATTTTGTAATGCCAAAATCGCACAGAGTTGCTTTTGCCTTCCAGGGGGAAAATATTAAAATGCAAATTATTATATCCAATATGAAACTTGGCGATTTATCTATTCCCTCTTGAATAAGCACAAACTCAAACAGATCACAATATCACAATACATTTTCATAGAACATTCATACAAGTTCTTACTCAGTTCAGACACATTGTTGTTATAATTCCTAATAGTAGCATCAGAATACTATTTTATGTTTACAACTTTTTAAAAAATCATGTAAACAAATGCTTCAGAGAAAATGTGCTCTGTATTTTGGGAAGTAAGTTTGTACACACCTTTTAAGTTTCTTTACTATGTAAGAAATGTTAGATCTAATTTGGAAAATTATTGAACATATGTTTTCTGGGCCAGACTTTTCTTGAGTAGGAAACTATTTGAAAAGAACTCAAGCAAGGGCAATGCATGTATTCAAAATCTCCCAATTTCACTGTTTCACAGCTTTTTATAGCATCCAAATTTATCAATACAAAAATTTTGAGTATTCTCTTAGAAGCATATAATTTTTCTTTTCTGATCAGACTAAAAAAGAAAACAGGTATTTTTCCCAATTGCAAATTTAGTCAGAAAACCATATATATCCAGGTTAAAAAAATACAGATATATGGGCATAAAAATATGTATGTGATTATACAAAGTGTGACTAATACAAACTTCAGAGCCACAATACAAAACATCTTTTTTCCACCAAATCAACTTTTGCACATTGTACTGAGGCCAATACTAGTGTATTTAATTTTGTGCTGTTTGATTTTACGGGCACAATTAAACTGCAATATTAAAATTGAACATCTATTTTAAAATTATAGTAAATATAATTTTGGGATATTAACTAAAGATGATTAATTTATGCTTTACAGATGAATACTTATAGCCAATGTTAACATTTTGAAAGCATTTGGCTCAAAAGCACAAATATGACCTTGATCCTTTAATGGATTTGCATAAACATTGAGGAACTAAGACTTGATGAGACAATTGCTTGTATCTATTTACTAGTTTAAGCAGGTAAAACATAAAATTGTTACTGTTTCCCAATAAATACAATTACATTTTAATTAAAAATTTCAACAATTGTCATACTTAATTCCTGTCATTTTCCAAATATGCCTTTAAAATAAAACTCTCTGAAGATACAAAATTTCTGCCATTAATAGCTTTTCCAGTCACACCAATCTGTAACTTGGATACTGAAATAAATTTTATTGCTACTTCTTTGTTTTGATTTCTACAGAATGACCCTAAACATGTGTATCTGTTTGTACTGAAATGTAACATAATTGGAACTCTTATTATACCAGGTGATAGCTAAAATTGATTGTGATTATTTCTATTTCTTTTTTTGCATAAAATTGTGTAAATATTCTGTAAAAATGGCATGAAGGTAATACTAGATAATAAAATTTAAATGGAAAAGCACAAAATTACAAGCTAGAAATTAATATAAGAAATTTATAAATTAAAATACAGCTTAGGAATGTACTTCTAATTGTACAGCTAAATGTTATTTTATATAAAAACCTCTTGAATAATTATCTAAATAAGTTTGTTGAATTCCACTACTCATTTTGGTGATCATTGCTGAGACTTCTTCTTCACCCAAAAAGCTTGGTTTTTAAATGACTTTTAAATATCACCGATTTCAGTGACGATTCCAACGAACTTTCTTGGCATTGCTTAGCTAATGCTCCCATATATTTCTTGGAAGAAGAAAATAATACCACCCATCATGCTTGTAGCATATACATACTAATTTAAAACAACAGACATCTGAAATTATACCTTGAGATTTATTGTAGGAATTGTTTTCATTGAATTAGAAGAACTTGACCACGAGCAATCACCATGCTTACCCACATCCAGGAAATTAGTAGAGAGGTTTACTAAGGAAATATTTTGAAAAACAGCTTTCGGAAATCAAGCAATCCCTGGTTTGCCCTCTTAAGAATAAAAAGTTATATCTCAAACAAAACATCTTTGCTATTTATAAAAGCGTATAAAAGACAACAAAATGAAATCTTTCAGATATAGTTAGAGCTGCTTATAGTATTTGAATAAGCAATTAAGTCCTTTAGATCCTATCACAAAATATTTGAGAAATTAGGAATTTATCAAAAGAACTGCCAAATTTCATGAAATGTACTGATGAAATTGCTCTGTGAGCATGAAGCTGAATTGTATGCTTTTGTTTATTTGACTATAATTATACTAATGAATTTCAAAGGAAAATGCAAGTCAAAATTCATCACTGTTAATTCACATTAGAAATCACTATTCTTTTAAACATTTTAGAAATAAAAATATTTTAATTAACATGTGGTTTTATTTGACAATATTTTATTTTAGGGTAGCTAAGATCATGTTTTATTTGTGTAGATAAGATTCATTTTATTATTAGTTTGAAAAAAATCATTATTCTTACATGAGACAAAGTTTCATTTAAAAAACATGCATGCATTAGTGTCTACCTGTATGCAAAACTAACTATGCTAATTTTATCTGGCAATGCTAATAGATAACGTCAGCCTGGCACAGTATTAGAGAAAGATGAAACAGACATACCAAGTTAGTTAAATGACAGATTCTTTTGTAGAATATAAATAATTCCTAGTCGAATAATGGTCTGCTCTACAGGGGAAAAATATGTACAAGTTTTCAAGTTTGAATGCTAATGATTGCTATTTAGGTGAATTAGTGAACACTTTGGTTTCAACTTGTTTGAACTTATACCAGAAACAAGAGTACAGTAAGCATGGTACTAGTATCTACATAGAAGATTGCTACATTTAGTACTTATGTTTTACATACAAAATTATTTCTTAGACACTAGAAAAAAATGCGACCACAGACAAAGACACGAAGAATCCACAACTGCCTACAAAAACTATTCCACCATTTCTTTGACTGTTTTCCTTTTGGAAGCCTCCATTTTCAACCTCAATATCCATTATGTTTTCACATGTCTGCATTTTAGCTAAGGCCAAAGTCTAAAGACCAAGAAAGAACTCTATAATAAGTTCAAGTCCTCAAAATAAGTTGCAGGGGAGCTTAGGTGGTGTAGATAGTAGTGGTAGTGGGAGTGATGGAACTTATTCATTGTCCTTACTCCTAAGACCCTGTTTTAGCACTACTAGGAAGTATTTAATTAAAATTAATACTATTCTTTCTGCTGTGTAAAATATCAACCAGGAGCCAGGCATGGTGGGGCTGAGGCAGGAGTATTGCAATCTGAGCCCAGATTGGACAACTTATCAAGTTAGTGAGAATTGTCTCAAAATAGAGAGAGTAAAGAAGGGTTATCGAAGTAGCTCAGCATGAAGGGTCTGCATTTAATCTTTAGTATCACACACACAGTCAACCCGTGAAGCAATTTTGAAGATGCTAAATGCAGTTTTTTCTCCCTAATACCACTGCTTATCTTTATGTGGTTGATGTTGGCCAATACATTTTAGGCAAGAAATATTCGGTTGAAATAACAAATTTATAAAAATTTGGATACACATATAAACACTATGCAAGTTGATTTTCTTTTTCAGATTATAGCATTTTGAAAAAGTAAACTTACAACTATACTTAGTGTAGCTGAATAAACAATGAAGAACAATTATTAATAATTAATTATAGCATATTTCTTGGCATTTAGGAATGAACTTAGAAACAGTAACTTAAAAATTTATTATAATTACAGATTAAGAAATGATGATGGAAGGTAACTTTAAAAATTAAAGTCTTTGTTCTTTAGGTTTGAATATATACACTTAAAGTACATAGAATATAAAAAATAAGGGTCTTTCAATTATTTCAGCATTTTACATAAAAGGATTCTTATTGTACTGGTATTAACACTACTTCAGTTGGTGCTTGTGGAAATCATGGATCAGTAAGAAACTATGATCTCTGTGATGTCCAAGTATGTTTATGAGGGGCTAGAGAAGAACTGTTAAATTTAATTACACATATACAGAGAATACCCAGTGGCTGAAAGTTTGGGCCTCTTTATCATGGTTTATATTCCTTCAGACTTTGAAGAAGAGGAAGACATGTCAATAAAAGACTCCAGAGTGGAACAAAAAAATACACGTATAATGCAATATGAAAAGAAATTATGTGATGGGAAAGTCTGATCTATTCATCCATGCCTTAATAAGGCAAATATTGATCTCTGAATTTTAGTGACCATTAGATATCTTTGATAACAAGCATAAAGTGAGATACATTTGATCATATTAATACAGTTTACATTTGTTCATTTGAAAAATAAAGTCACAATAAAAATGTAAAGTTCTTAGTGCTCATGCATTTTATATCTTTTTATATAATTTAAGTAAAATGCCAACTTTGAGGCCATTAAGTAGTAAAGTTTTAAACATGAAAAATCATCATAATCCATTAGGTCATTCATGTGTAAAGGAGAATTTACTTATTAGGAAAAAATAGTATATGAATGTTAAAAGTCATTAATGCAGAGCTTAGTAACAATTTACGCACCAGTGACAACAAAGCACTTTTATATATACTACTTTTTACTCTAAACAATGGGCAGCATTCTAAATTTAATGAGCAATTTGAGTTTTTAAAATTTCAAAAAGAAATTTCACTTCTAAGGAAAGGTAGTAGTTTCTTAGTCTAAAAATACAGGTTTTCTGAAGGAAAAAAATTTATGATATATTTAAAGATTATATCCAGAACAAAATGGAAAATGTATTTATTTTGCTTTTTTCCAGTTAGAATATTTTTAACTTCTAGATAGCCCTTAATGAATATAATATATCTAATTCCAGAGTAATATTTTACAGTGATATTTCATGCTGCAGAAAAATGCAAAAATTTGAATAAAACAATTTCCATATTTTTGCCACTCTACAGCATGGAAAATAAAAAATCATTAGTTAAGGGGAATGTACTGGGTAGATTTTAATTACTAATTTAAAATTACATTTTCTCAATGTTTATAAATCACTATTACTACCTTATGACCTGATCTGAGAGAATTCTATGAATTAGTTTCTTCCAGATGTGTATACAATTATAATTATAAAACTGAAAATTGTACACTAAATAAAATATCTTACTTTCCTTTCTCTCTGTATTTTGCCACAAAATCACTTTTAGCTTTTTGTAATTATGCTTCATGTGTTTTCAAATTAAGGCAGAGTTCTTTATCATTTGGGTTTTACTCTCAGATTTCATCACAATTAAGCCTATTAGGATAAGCTGTGAAGAGATCATTTCACAAACAAATTTTCAAAAGCATACAAGATTAATCCTTATGCTGCTGAGATGAGGCACAATAAAGAAGCATTACTGAGATAATCTATGGCTAAAATGATGGTGTATGACTTATGATTAAGCTTCATTACCTGCAGAGCAAGGGGCTTCCATCTCATATTTTTCAGTAAAGCTGGTGCTGAGGTAAGCATGCTCTGAGGTCGCTTTTTCAAAGTTAAGATAACACCACTCGGGTCCTCTCGTAGTGCATTCACCAAATTTTTCAACTGCCACCCCACCTGGTAACCAGCAAAATCATTACAATAAAATTGAGGTACAGTATTCAAAGATTTGTTTTCCCCCTTTATAATAAGATTAGTAAAAAAAATCACATAACTGGTGTATCATCCTATCAATTCTCAGGAGATATATACTCAAGAAAGAAATTATCTTTGAACTGATTAACCATGTCATTGCATTAGAGTCCATGTAATCATGAGACAACAAAATGGACATTTACCATGTTAAAATAGAGAATGAAACGGTATCCTGCCACTGGAATAATTTAGAATATGAAGAAATTATGTCACCATTAATTATGCTCAGCTGCCAGGTCTAGATTCAAGCTCTGTTCACAAGTACAAGTGAAATATCCACATGCCAGAAAACAAAGATTTGGCAATGTTTTGAGCCTATAAACTACACCACATGCTTTCTCACCACCATCTTTTAGAGATACATGGTTGCTTTGCCTAAATTAGACTGACATTCTACTACCAATAGCTGGTACTCACATACCAAGGCAACATTCTGATGCAAGCATAAAAGCATCAATAAAATAAACCTTTTTCATGCTAGAAAAATAGAATAAAAATGACAAGGTAGTGCCATTTCAAAGCAACAGCTATTGCAAATGTATTCCAAACAACACTATATATGGAACATATAATGTGCTAAATTTGGTGAAGCCATTCTACTTGAATATTACCTCAAAATGTATAGTATAATTAAAGCAATTTCCTGAGAAATGTTTTGAAACATGACTCAATGGTTACTCATGTTAAATTATTTCATTTATCATCCTTTTAAAAATTTGAACGTAGAAAATTTTTCGTTTATTTTTTAAGTGGACCAGTGATGCAGCATTAGGTAAATTAAATTCTAAAAGTATGCTTTGAAGAAATATTAATTTACCTATTATTCCAATGATTTAAAAATACATTTCATATTTAGAATGGAGAAGAACCTTTTATCTCAACTCTAGTGGTTGTCTTATACAAGTACAGTGGGTCAAAAATTATCCTGGACTGAAAACAAGACTTAGCAAGTGGTCTTAAAGAGTGATCTAGTTTCTCCTTAGGAACCTAAGTTTAAGAGAATAGATGTCTTTTATCTGCTATTCATTGTGTTTTTGCCTGGAAGACACTATTCAAACTGGAGAGAATGAGAACTTCCTCTAAAAGAAGCTAAGACTTCTAGAGATTAAGAAGTAAGCTGGAATGCAGTCACTGTAGTATAACAGTATATCTATTTTGGTATACTTAATGGCATTTATAACTTTATAGCTCAATTGAGTAATGGTGAAGAGGAGTCAGGCCAAAACAAACAAAACAAACAAACAAACAAAAAACCAACATGTTACAATGCGGAAAACCTCAGGGATGTCAGATGTGAATCAAAATCATCATTATACCTGGCTAATTTGAATAAGAGGCTGATAGATTAAAAAAAAGAAATATTAATGCAGACCCCCACATTAATGGGACTGCTCAAATGTCTTCTATTTAATGCAAGTGGGGATCATTATGTGTCTAAATTTATATTAATTCTGATGTTCTTATAATCATTCATGCAAGCTAAAAGTCAAAGCAAAGTAAGTTCAAAACCACGTGTTCATTTTGCTTGCTTAAAAAGAGCAAATTATGAGTTAAATGTTTGGAGGAAATTTGTTATTTAGCTGGGCATGGTGGCACACACTTCTAAACATACTACTGTAGGGGGCCAAGCCAAAAAGATCAGAAGTTTGAGCCAAGCATGGGCAACTTAGGGAAACGATAAAACTGTGGCTCAAAAATGAATGATAGAAAAGGCTGGGGATGTGTGAAGGCCCTAGGTTCAACCCCCAGTACTGCAAAAAAAAAAGTGTTGTTTATGCAGAGTTTATGAATAACTTAATGATAACTATTTTATTATTTTATTGAAATAAGTTTATATTAAAGCAAGGACGAAAGCATCAATAAAATAAACTTTTTCAGGTACTCCAACTAACAGCCATATGTTTCTTCCAGCATTATCTATTTGATCATGAATTACACATCAACTTCGTTCCATTTGGTTCTCTAATATGACTGTTGTGACTAAGTGAGGATTTTTAAGGACTGATGGTGTTTTCCTGTGAAATGCTCAGTGCAATTTGATTTAACATGTTCTTTTGCACTTTTGACATACTTTGAGTAATTTTAAAAAATAGGATTATTTTTCTGTGGTAAATATCTTGACTCCCAAATTCTACTTGTCCTACCATAAAGAAATATATAGACAAACACAAAGATAATTGTACAGTGTATATCATAGTATTAAGACAACCAAAATTATACATTACATATATCCTAATAAGAGGTATAAAAATTGTTGTATAGAAGTTATATATGATATATATGAAAGTTTACTTTATAGATAATTATATATAATTTATATAAATTTAATATATATATATGAAAATTGAAAAAGTTCTACAACACCCTTAATTATGGTTACAGTAAAGAGGAATATGGACTGCCCTATATACTGTTTTTTCACTTTAATTTTCTGAGCTACTAGCAATAAGCATGAGTTACTTTTACAAACATTAAAAACAAAATTCATGAGTGTACTCTAAGAATAGTAATATTTCAATTAGGATACCATGACTTTTACGAATTAACTAATCAGGATTGCTTGTAATGGATAGAAATTTTCTACAAAAAGCAGAGAATTGGAAAGGCATCCCTATTTAAAACATTAAAAGGTGGTGATGAGAAAATCAAATCTGCTCTGTACATGTTTTTAGGTAGCTGGCATAAAGGAATACAAATTTACTAATCAGGTGTTCTCAAAAAGTCAAGAACTGCACTATCTTCTCACTTTCAATTCGATCAATGATTTCAATAGATATTCCATTTAAGCAGTAAATCAGATCACTAGGGAATTAATAAATGGGAATAATGTTTGCTGAGTGATTGATAGCCTATAACACGCATGCTTTCTCAATAACATATAGGTTTTTGGTATATCTATCCTATGTTAGTGCTGTATACACATGAATAGGAATTTGAACAGCGCTTTGTTTCCTTAGTCCTTTCTCAAACTTAATTTGGGTCATTTTAAAATTATTTTCTATATTCTATACGTTATATGATTCTTAACAATTGTCCTTATTTTGTTGACAAATATCATAATCGTAGTATTCTAGAGCTCCAAGAAATATGACTCCTGCCTCGGGTTCTGTGATATAATAACATAATTTCAGCTGTATAACGATATGTAATGAATTATTAAAATTAATATATCAATTTTTGTTATTGGGACACTTATGGTTGATAGATTACAGGGGAACATGAGTAAGCAGTGATAAAATGAGAGCAGCATACACTCTATGTGGCAACATCAAGAAGGTTGGAAGCCTCCACTCTAGGAGCTAAATGTAATATTTCACACGTGTCAAAATATATAAAATGTAAATATGTAACAATCAGTTTGAAATATTGGTTTTCACATTTTCTCATTTAAATATTTGGGTATAGTTTTAAAATATTAAATATGATAGAAGAATTAGAAATTATTTAAAGTTTTAGTTTTTAGTAACATGAAAATGACTGTACTCTTTCCATTATGTAGTAGGAGATGGAGCTTTAAGGGAAAGTACAAGGGGATATTTGGCTAGTAACATAAATCATAATACGTGAAGGAACCAAATAAGGCACAAAATTTTAAATATACTATGTAATGAATATATATGAAGATAAACATTGTAATAATTCAAGATGTGAAATTATGACCTCAATGTCAAAAGAAATGTTTGCCCATGTCAAATGGTTAGATAACTTCCAAAATCAACAATATACTGCGACTCTAACATACAGTGTGTGTAAGCACAAGCAAATAGATAATGACAGATTAGCTTGAATAAAGGAATGTCGTCCTGCTGTGTTCCTGCTTATTTGTCCTGTATCTCCTCTTCTCATTTTCCTCATAAACAGTAAATGTAGGTGCTTCCTCTAGGCCAGTGATGGTGTACTTTTCAGAGCTTGCAAAGATAAATAGCTCACTGTGGCACATGTGCCATAGCTTCACCACCACTGTTCTATGCTAAGCATTAGCCACATTTCTCATATTTCATATTGTCATTTTACAATAATCTTTTCTCTTTTAAGACTTCCAATAACAACTTCCTACACATGATGACAAAATCTAACCATCTCTGCTTCCTATCAACAACTGTGGTCATGTATTTCCAACTTTCAGTTCCCTGATGCTAACAGGTATTGATAATCAAGTACCAACAATTCACTGTGGTAGATTCTTCTTTATATTTAATTTATATTTTCATTATTAAGATAGTCCAATGAGATAAATTATCAAACCAACTTTGCACATGAAGAAATCGAAGCAGAAAGAGACTACTTTCCTGATAAAGGTTATATAGATACTGACAGGCAGTCAAAATTCACATTCAATTCTCAATCCTACAGTATAGTATCCTTATCCACATATCCACTGGTTGCTCACATGAAAGAAATATTTATTTTATTTTTGTGATACTGGGAATTAAACTCAGGGCTTCATGCATGCTAGACAAATGCTCTCCCATTGTGCTACATTTCCAGGCAATTCCATTTTTAAATTTTGAGACAGTATCCATAAGTCGCTTAGAGTAGCCTCCAATTGGGATCCTCCTTCCTCAGACTTTCAGGTACCTGAAATTATGGGTGTGCATCACCACATCTGGCATTGAGCAGTATTTTTAAAAACAAACTCATTTCTCCTTGATTTCATTCACAAAGACAAAATTCCCTATCATTCTCTCAAGTTTAGACTCATTTATAACTGTTCCTCTCTTTTTAACCCCTGTATATGTCCTAAAAAATATATATCGTACTAATTACCATTTCTCTTAGTTCTACCCCAGGTACTTATTAAACTTAAAAGACCCGCCTTTCGGCTTCTGGTCTTTTGAAGTTCCAAAATACTGCTCTATGCAAAAATTATTCTTACTTTCAAAACCCTTAAATAACTGTCCAAAAGCACAAAGCAGTGACTA